ATACCCCACACTGGGGACCGAGTGTGCAACCCAGGCACAAGCCCCGACTGGGAATCGAACCAGTACCTCCTAGTTCATAGGTCAACACTCAACCACTAAGCCATGCCAGCTAGGCTGCCTTATTATATTTTGTTTCCTGGCTCTCCCTGCTCCAGCCTCAAATGGGGCCATGAGTCTCAGCAGTTGGCATAGCCCTTAGAATGGCTATAGGTGTCATGACACCTAGCAGCTATAACCATTCAAGGCAGCCTTTAGGAAGGGAATTAAAATTTTATTCTTGCCTTGGCCCTTTGCCTATATGGCTCAATTGGTTGGCCACATGCACCAAAAGGTTGCTGGTTTGATTCCCAGCCAGGGCACATATCCAGGTTGCAGGCTCAGTCCCCGATGGGGGCATGCAGGAGGCAGCCCATTAACGTTACACTCTCAAAACAATGTTTCTGTATCTATCTATCTATCTATCTATCTATCTATCATCTATCTATCTATCTCCCTTCCTCTTTCCTCCCTCCCTCCATCTCTTTCTCTGTCTCTCCCCCTCTCCCTTCCTCTCTCTAAAAATCAATAAATATATTTAAAACAACACCATTCTACCCCTCTCCTCCTATTTGGGGGAAGTCTGGACCTATGGAGGATTGAGGGAAACCTCTTTATGAGGCTTGAGTTCAGAAAGCAAACAGCTTTTCTGGTTTCATAATCTCCAAAAAGTTACTAATAATCCCCTCCTCTCCACAAGTGAAATTTAAGTTCTAGATAGTGATGTCTTATTGGATATTTTTTTCAATTGGCAGCACTATTCCAAACCTCTTAGCCTTGACAGTTCTGAGCTCTGTGAGTTCTGTCTTCAGGAGAGTTCCCCCTCCTGAGTTCTGCTTCTCTCACAAGGCAGTGATACAGTTGCTTAGTAGCAACTGAAGAAAGAAGACTGTAAATGCAGAAGAAATCTCGTGGACTGGGAGCCAAAATCTTCTCTACTCTTGAAACATTTTTTGTTATAGCAGAACCTGTTCACTCATGGTGGATGTTGAGAAGCTTCTGAAGCCCTTTCTATTGAGTCTACTGAAGAGTAATAACTAATTGAGTAGCTCTGGGGCCAGTATGTCTGTCTTATGTCACACAGAAAGATGACAGAGTAATGCTTTTAAATGGGCTCTTAGGAATTGACTAGGAGTGAAGGAGCTTCTGTAGAGGTACTTGCATGCAGCTGTGGAAATCCTTCCTTCCAAAGAGCTGTCTGCGGCCTTGGCAGAGAGCTATTTGTGTATAACAAGCCTTTTGAGTCTCACCTGCCCTTAGCAAAGAGAAATCACTTTATAAAACAGGATTATCAACAAGAGGAGGTAGCTTGAAAATGAGTCCCTAAAATAATTAATAATGATCACGTCCATTCCAGTTGAACTGGGCACTCAATTTTGTAATGCCCAGGCTACTTTGCACTGATTCTTTACTAATGAATAGTGTATGACTTACTTATGCATTTCTTATACATATAAAACATTCTCTTGCTGGAAGGTTGATACAGTACTTTTTTTTAACCAACAGTAAAGTCTTAAGAGAATGCAGGGCACTCTTGACTGATCAAAGGGGCTATCCTTAAGTGATTTTTAAAATATAATATTATATGATTTATGATAAGTGTGTGTGTGTGTGTGTGTGTGTGTGTGTGTAGGTTCCAGAAAGCAGAATGTAATATAAGTAATGAAGTTAGCTCTAGCATCTGATCCTAGCCCATTTATTAGCTGTACTAGTATTATCTTTGAGAAGTTCATTTAGCCTCTTAGTCTATTTCCTCTGTAAAACGAGGGAGTTTAAATAAATTTGTGTTTTCCAAACTCTGAAATTTATAACAGATTACTACAGATTATTTTGGGTGGCATGTGAGATAATTTCAGGCAGTTTCCTGCTAAAGTACTAAAATAAACATTGAATCACAGTTGGAAAGTTATCCCTTTCTCAGTCTTATTATGTCAAAGACAAAGTCTCAGTTTGGTATCATGATATGTGTAATAGTTCTTTAATGCTGGATAATATGTTTGGGGTTGGGGACAGAGGTGGATGGGGAGAGGCACTGTAAATCCTTCATTTCACACGAGTTTCCATATGTGGGAAGTAAATTCCATTCCATAGAAGGGAAAAGTACAGAAGTGCTTGTCTGCTCTTTGTGACTGCCTCATTTCCCTTCCACTTGCAGTGGAAGTAACGTGCTATACAACTGGTGAGCTTGGGCAGAGGAGCCAAATGTGACTGGCTTCTCTCATGGCGTGACCCATTCTCAGAACACATATTCCCCCTCCTCCACTGTGAAAGTAGGGCTTGGTTGACAAACTCTGCTTAGGACTTGTAGGAACTATTAGGAAACCTATGAGACCATAAATAAAAAGAAAAGGAAAATAAAAAACCTACATTCTGTAACTCATCCTATTGGTAATCAGGTTGATACATTTTGATTGCCATTTTATTCCTCTCCTCGTGTCTCATTTAGGTTTAGACTTATAGGAGATGTAAGGAGAAAAGCAATTATTACCTTAAAACCTCACTAACAGTCTCCTTTTTTAAAATAGAAATCTGGCTTGAGCACAGTGCCCTTTAATAAGCAATAGTATATATTTATATATATATTTATATATATAAAATTTAATAGCATGGTTTTGTTTTCAATAAAGTTATATTTATAGTTACCATCTATAAAATAGACTCATTTAAGTTTTTTAAAAGTGAATTTTTAAGACTTTAAGTAGTGCAGATGATACATGGATATGATAAAAACTATAAAGGTGTACATAAATGACTAAAATTTAGGAAGTACTGAATAAGATTATTTCTAGGATCTATTCCCAATTTAAATTGTTTTGTATGTGTATTTCAGTAGATAAAAAACACTATGTGGTAAACTAAGTAAAAGAAGGGACATTCTAACAGAAAATATACTATTACTTTCATTTTGAAACATATAATTATTGAGGAAGCTGAACTTTGATACGATGCCAGTATTTATATAAATAAATACCCTTTTCTCTTAATATTTTACTAAGAATGAATTGATATCTTTTTGGTAGTATGATTTTTGGTGATGATGTTTGAAAGCATTCTAGTTCTGGGTGAGGTTTTTGAGCAGGAAATCATGGAGGCAAGAACGAGTCATCATTGTATGCTCTGCCTAGTACAGTGTTTGCCACATAGTAGTTAATGTTCAACAAATATTTGAATGAATGAGTGAACAAAGAATCAACAAAAATTAACTGAATTCTCTGTCTTGAAGGTCTAGGCATAGTTTTCATTTCTTTCTGAAAGCTGGCAATAAGGCTATCGGTAAGGAAATGATGCCTAGGGCAGTCAGAGGGTAATACATTCATGTAAGTGCAGTTTAACCTTACTGAGAAGAAAATCACAAAAGGAAGGTAGCCCAACTAATTTTGCTTTTGTTTATGGTCATATATGAGAGACTAGGGTCTTTCTTTTTCTTTTTTATAAAAAGAACTACCTTTCTCCCTTCCTCTTTTTTTCTGATTCATGTATTACTCTCTTATCTCCACATCAGGGAAAGCACCCCAATTTTCCTGGCCTTAGGGAGACTATTAGTTTTTTTTTAAATGTGGCT